GTTCATCGGATGCTGGGGTATAACAAATGGATGCAGTTCTGCAGTTCAGGTAGCGGCTTATCGATGACACCGATGCAATCATCAATATACCTTCTGTAGAGCCCAGGGCGCCTACCGGTATATGCAAGACGTATCTGGTGCTGGAGGTGGCTTATGAAGATGCAGACATAGCTAGGTCCCATTTTAGTACCGGACGCTAATCTGGTTGAAATACTGGCCATTAAATTCAAAATAGTTTAGAGTGAGCACTAACTCAGCCAGACGTATCGATGGGTCAGCAGCTATGGCAGACCTGACTCTCTGTTCTGAAAAGAACCGCAATGCCGGGAGGCCATCTGAGTATGAAATAGACGTGTAGAGGGAGGTAACATCTAAGGTGAAGATGTTGTTCCTAGAAGAAGAGGTGAACCGGCTCGATTGAAAGACAGAGATAGCATGGTTAGTATCTTTAATATAAGACGAGAGACCAACAACCAGGAGCTGCAAAATACGGTCGATGAAACGGGATATGAGTTCTGTGGGACATGCGGAGGCGGACATGATCGGTCTGCCTGGGTTGTCAGGTTTATGTTTCATGGGAAGCATATGGAGGTCGGGCTTTCTCAGAGGGCGTTTAGTATACCAGCCCTGTTCATTGTTCGTCCGTTTTCCACGTAAGCATCACTTGCATGTCTGTCAGCTCGTTCATTGCCCTTTGCACCAGAATACCCCAAAACAACTATAAAGCTGATTTTTGTCCGCCTAAATCTTTTCAAAAACTCCAACCATTGTCTTCCAATGCAACCCTTCTCGAAAAAAAAACATAACTAGTGTGTACTTACTGGAAACAATGAGCGGCTGTAATTATCCAGAATTTACTTATGATGGCACCGCCACACACCTGCATATTATTATATATTATTGTAGCCATCCAGGGGATTTCCCCATATCTGACGAAACTGCCACCCAAAATCCTGTCCAGCTGTGGGTCTGCTACAGGTTCATCACTTGAATCGCTGTCATCGTCACTGATACCACCTGTCTCCCGTCTTTGGAACGGCGACGAATAAAAGGCTCGTCTAATACCACAGGAGTAATCTTCTGTAATCAGACAAATGTATGTTGAACGTTTCGTATGTTAGAGCTGTCAATCAATTAAAAAGTATTAGCTATGTGTATGTCCTTCGCAGGAAGTTGCATAACCACCACCACCACCCCCCCCCCTCTTTCCCTTTTTCCGCCTGTTAAATCGATTGGGGGTCGGTGTGTGTGTTTTTTTTTTTTTGGGTGGGGGGAGAGGGGTGTTTGTTTGTGTTTTCTTTCGACAATTGTATTTTGATTACTAGTTTGATTACTGCTTATTAAACGGTCGGTTATCAATACCTGTGTCGAAATCAACACGCGGCGAGCTGCTAAATTGCTCACCGCTGAAATCGAACTCGACACATTCAAATTACAATGCGAGTTCTCAATACCTATAACCAAACTCCGACATAACAGAAATATGAATCTTGTAAGACTGACAGCAGTTGGGAATGAACATAAAATCTTCCTCACGGGGCACCTAAATCTGAGTGTTCAAACACCGCACCCGACCCTCTCTCATTACCCTTGATGTAAAGCCACACTAACCCTCTAATGTGAAGAATATATCTTTTTTTGTTCCTTTTCATTGAACATATTGTAACAAACCCGATGTATTAAATTTATTTGCTGTTCTTTACATTGGGCAATATCAAACTACTGGATGCAAATTTGCACAGAAAAACCACGACAGCAAAAAAATGTCATGCTGGTTTTGCGATGTCCTGTAAATGATACGCAGCTAATTAACACCTATTAGGTACAGTATAATTGAATGTCGAAGGTTCAAATCTGCGTGGAACCAGGTTTTTCTTGAACATGAACTTGGCTGCCAGGTCAGGTCCTTTTTCCAGGCATCACCGTGTTGCTGAATGTGGCCCTCGTCACACCCTGCCTTGATGGCACTTAACTATAAAAGGTTAGTTCCACGGTAGTTCCCCCTGAGCCCGCCCATATACACACTAGCTAACTTCTGATTTGTAGTTCTGGAGCCGCGCGTCTTCGCACAATATTAGTTAATATTGTGTGCTGTATATTTTAGCACGCCAGCGCTTTTAACACTCCAAAAACATGGACACAGGTATAACACCGCAACTCCCATAGAAAGTGCTGCAACCTTTATCCCAGGCATTCTCATTCTCGTAAGAAAACCGTAAATGCAAGACAAGCCAGAAAGTAAACAACAGAGCGGCACACTCGTAACCTCCGGGAAAGTAGAACAGTCCAACAGTTATCAATGAAACGTGATCTACTTTGGTAGGGGAGACTAAAGTCGAACTAATTCTACAAATTTATACTGCTGCTGTGGGTTCAAATCCAAAAGAAGCTTAATGTTTTTTTCAGAATTTACCTAACTATTAAGGTCGACTCAGGAAAGTCGGGAGATGTGAACCAGCGTCATTGCACACGGTTATAAACCATAAGTGCTTTGCCACCAGTACGGATAGCTAATAAAAATTGTCCGCCTATGTAGCCGATTGCACATAACTCTGTAGCTACAGCGACGTTCCTCCATTTAACCCAGAGTGTCAACTATGGTACTAATTACCTAGAGGCTGGGTGAACCCCAAAAACCGCCCGGTTCACATATATATATATATTAATATATAATATATAATATATAATATATATACACACATTTATAGCACTGACATTGTGGAAGCTGGAGAGGTGTGGTTTCACAGACGTTTGACAAGAATACTATCGACATAGTAAAAAAAAAAAAAAAATTTTTATGAAGTAAGGACGATTTTTCACAGAAACTAACTAAGGACGAAAACGTAACGTACTACCCACATCAGAAGGACAAAATCTACTTTGCTTGTTCCTGTGTCTAAAAGAATAAAACTGCTGCACATGGGACAACGGGAAACTAAGAGGGCAATTTAGGTAGATAAGGAGCCAGGGAGAACATGCTGGATGGTTTGATATCATGATATGCAAGATCTTCCTTGTCAGAATTTATTGAAAGTTTAATTGTTGCGCAAGTAAAAATTTGCCGGGGCAAAGTTTAGAGTTGAAAATCTACCCAAAGTATTTCACAATTTGTGCCAATGCTTCGATGTTCGTGCACTGTGCTGAGAATACACGGACTCGTCCTCGAATTAGAATAGAACGGAGCACTTATGGGTTACTACCCTTGTGTAATGATGTTGATTCTTTGTATAAATCAAAATACCTATTAGCACTCGTATCCTAATTTCCATCTTGCTCATCCGCCACTAATTTTCTTTTTCAGTAGATCTTCCACACTTGTCTCCCAGTGAAGTTTGAAGTTTGAACAACGGATCAACATCATGGCACACGGGTAGTTACCCATAAGTTATCAAGTCTGAGTCCAAAGAAGCTCAGCATAGTGCACAGACTCTGTAGCACCGGCGAGGATTCTGATATACTTTGGGTAGATTTTTAACTTCAAATTTTGCCCGGGCACCATTGTTAGGTTACTCTTTTCGATTTCCAACTGCCAATAGATTTTTTACTAACGCAACAATACACACGGGCGTCTGGTCTTATTACCCATAGACCAGGTTTTTTTTAACTAGAAATCCAGGTGAAAAAATCAAAGTTCACACTCGGGCTTGAACCCGGGAACTCTAGCAAACGAGGCGGACACAACGCCTCGAGACCACGCAACCCCCCCCCCCCCAACTCTTCCCCAACAATACATGTTAATACTAATATAATGTATCAAAAATCCAGTTATACAATTATTGCAACCGTATAACAAACATGTTATTCTCATAATATTATCACAAATTACTGCAAATATTAAGTTTGTAACACACACAAGAAAATTACTCTTTTTTGTAACACAGTTGACAACCAAACGTACCACGATTGAGTCGCTGCTGATACTGATAGCGAATAATATCATAGGTATTGCCAGCAGCAAATGAATCCGATTCATGGTGCTTACAGGGACGTGTAAAACAGGACGAACGATAAATTCCTAACTTTATACAAATTATTACCGTTGTTCAGCAAAATCGTGTGTGATCTACACCACTCTACAGTCATATGAATATTTAAAGTTGACAATACAAATGACTACACGTGGCACTGAAGTACTGCATACAAAACTTGTAGTGTGATACCATCAAATCTAGCCACTTCTGCGACAGAGTCAGCAAGACTTTCTAGAAATGCTTTATTTTCACCTTGGGAGCCAGCTCAAACACTGTGGGACTGAACCGTCAAAATAAGTTTAGCTAAAAATCTCAAGTTATCTCCCTTGACATTCCCGGGCTGTTTGTTCTTGGACCACACGTGTCTCTTCACTCCACTGGCATGACATCAACGTGACTGCTTCGGGATACATCAGTTAAGTTATTTTTGTGTATTCGTGTGGTTTTTTGTTTAATTGATGAATGTGGTGATGCACGTATGTAGCCGCAACGTTCACTTTTTTTTCGTTGAGTTTCTTATACTGTGAAGCTCGTTTAGCTACTTTTCCTTCGGTTCTATATCTTCCCTTGATATGTTTGTAACTTAGAACTTTTTTTGTGCCGACTTTGTCTCTCGTGACTTCTGTCCTGAATGTGTTTCATTTGGGCAGTCACCCATGCAGTCTTTCTTAGACGTCACACATTTCCATGGTTACTAATTTTGTTTTATTGTTTGTTGTGAGTCGCCATGTCTATTAATAGTAGCATAGGAGGGGAAGGGGGATCTGGACAGCACACACACGCATACTCTATCTTTCTCTCTCTCTCTCTCTCTCTCTCTCTCTCTCACACACACACATACACACACACATGCATACAAAGAAAAACATGTGTTGTTTCAATTTTCATTTCTATTTTTTTTTTTCAGAATTAAACCACATGTTTGAATTCGTTACACTGATCGCCATTAACGTATTAAACACGTTGTGTTATTTAATCAGCAGACAGCACTACAGCCATGAATAACGTGGGTTGCGTCATAGTCTGACATCATGAGTCGCTCCAGTGGGGTCGATCAGGCAGTGTTCGCTCCAACTTGTTGTCACTGCGGAGTTGCATGTTTTTAATAATCCAGTGTTGATACGAGCGGACGTTTGTAAACGCTGAGGGGTAATTAGGGAAGGGGCAGTCAGTCCCGAAAGAAGCTACGCCGTATAAGATATACATTTCTGTAATAGATATATATAAGATGTTATATATATATATATATATATATATATATATATATATATATATATATATATATATATATATATATATAAATATATTTATATATATATATTTACACATACATACATTAGATCATCTAGACTATATATATTTATATGTATACACATTAAAGTACCAAGGTTATATATATATATATATATATATATATATATATATATATAACACACACACACAGAGAGAAAGAGAGAGAGAGAGTGTGTGTCTGTCAGATGTGAGGGCGAATACCAGAGGAGAAAGTATGATGATGATGTTGACTCTTTGTGTATGTCTGTACGAGGTGACCCAGATATGAACTCAGGGTGAGACATGACAGACCGACCACAGAATGTTCTTTTCGATTGAGCTGTATACTTAGCCGAATTAGCCGGCAGCCTGAAGTCGAGCAGATGGTAAAGGGAGAGACGAAAACTTTGCTCATAGAGACATCGTATAAGAGAATATTAAAGCGTAGAGTGTTATCAACCCGGGTGGTGACCGTTAAGGTGTGTTTACCGCATTCCGCGTTATCCCGTCGCTTTGTTTACCGTTACAGCGTGGTCGGTGATCTGTGTATTTTGTGCCCTGATATATATTTGTGGGTTGGGATTGTTTTATACTTCGTTAGAACAAAATGGCAAGAAAACATGTTAAAGTTGATGAAGAATTCATGGAGTTTCTGTCAAGGAGTGATAGCGAAGATGACTTTGAAATGTGTACTTCTGACAGTGAACGAGAAGATTTGACTTGGCCATAAATTTTGACGACTCAAACCTGCGTGTAATAAACAAAAACAAAAAGCTGTTTGCCTGTCCGACATTCTCATTATCGGAATCAGAGAGCAGAGACAATGAAGTGCCATCAAAACGGTACACAATGGATCAGTTGTCTTGGTCAACCGATGATTTGATACCAGTAGTGCATCATTTTGATTACTCCAGCTTTGGCTGTATTTGTGCAACTGTAAATTGAAACAGTTGCTGTGCTTGATTCTTTTTTTTTTAACCCTTTCGCTGCTATGGACGTCTGTTCCCCTTTTTCCAGTACCCTGCTACGCCAGTCTTTAGACGTTACTTTTTTTCCTGACCCCTAGTGCTATTGACGCCCTAACCCGTTTTTATACTTTCCTTACAGATTTATGTGAATTCTATTTTCAGGGGCCTAAGGGAAATATACATTACATATATTTAGATTCAACTGACCCATTTACATACTATTAAAAGCACTGGCACGTGCGTTTGGGCGTGTTTAAGAGTGTATAAAGCTGTCAAAAAATTTTCGTACCGTGTTTGACGAAGTTATTTAGTCTCGAGGCATTATTGTGTGGGTTAGAATTGTCCCCGTAGATTTTGCATTTATTAAAAGTTGTCGGGACAGTGCTTTACAATTGTGGTTGGAGTTTGAACCCAGTGCCTATACAGGGGGAAAGAAAGGCGTGATTAGCGATTTGTAAACTGGCACGATCTGCATTTTAGATAAAGAGCCAACTTGGAGTCTTCATACTGATCGTACCTGATGTTATCCGGTTAAGTACTGTACTGCAATTCCGTCGAGTCCAGAGCTACTTTCAGAGCTCACATACACTCATCGCTGCATCTATATCTCCAAGTACTGGTTTTAAGTAGCTTCTTGTTCTTCTTTTTTCTTATTTTTCTTCTTTTTCTTCTTCTTCTTCTTCTTCTTCTTCTTCTTCTTCTTCTTCTTCTTCTTCTTCTTCTTCTTCTTCTTCTTCTTCTTCTTCTTCTTCTTCTTCTTCTTCTTCTTCTTCTTCTTCTTCTTATTTTCTTCTTCTTCTTCTTCTTCTTTTTCTTCTTCTTCTTCTTCTTCTTCTTCTTCTTCTTATTATTATTATTATTATTATAATTATTATTATTATTATTATTATTAATAATATTATTATTTTTAATATTATTATTATTATGTTTATTCCTTGTTTACCAGCTGTAAACTCTGGCGAAATGTCCTGGCTGTTCGTCTAATTGGAATGTTGCTTTAAACCAGAGCCCGAGTTTTACGTGTACATCCAATTTACTGGCCTATTTGTGTGCAGTTATTATTTCCTTGCTGCTCAGGCAGATGTACTCCGATTTCGAAGGAAGTCCCCAGTTAGTCGACTCCTATGACACTCTAGTCGGGGAGGCATTAGATCTATTCTTGTTTTCCTGACGAAAGAGTCCGGCAACCCACACGGGGATCATTGTATTCTGAAATAGGTGGGCGCATTATCTCACTGCATCGTTCAGTAGACTTTTGCAATATGGCCGGGATACAACCCTTTACTTACATAAACTGGTCACGGTGACCAGTTTGCCATGAAGTCGGAACGCTGACTGATAGTTTTCATCTGTTCTTAACTTGTCTTGCAACTAAAATAAGTAAATTTCAGAACATTTTCCGGGCCTTAAGATGCACTAAGCATACGGGGCTAGACCTATGTTTTATAGAACAATGGGCACGTGGTGGGTGATGTGGTCAGCAACACGCCGGAAATCAGGTCACCTAAAGTGCAAATTACTATAATTCCATTTCTTAGTGAAGTGTGATAGATGAAGGTTGTTTAAATACAACATATTTTCCATTCGTCTTTGTTCGTCTTATATACTTTTCTCTCGGCAACATACTCCACACAATGGACATCTAAACATATTACAGCCAAAACACTTCCCAGAGTGCCAGCTATGTAACTACCCATTCCAAACTGTTGAACACTATCTCTTTGAGTGCCCAAAACTCAGCGAGACTAGAATTACGATACCAGACAAGTGGAACACCTTGTAGGGAGGAAAAGAAAAGCTAGTAAAAACATGCAAACTCAACTACATGGCATTGGCCAGAGGTCGAAAGCTCATGCGCTGTTGGATCGATAACAAAAACAACAACATAAGGAAATTTAAGTATCTACGCACATGGATAACATCAGATGAAAGATATATCACAGAAACAGAGAATAAACAAGGACAGACCATACCTGTATCTTATAAAATGAACATTTAATGCAATGAATCCATGTCATTGGATGTTAGTAAGAAAAGAATTCTCGCGTGCCATATAGAGCCTGTTTTAACATACGGATGTGAAGCCTGGGCAATTAATAAACAAGTCGAACAATATCTTGAGGCCTAAGAGATGTGGCTTTACAGAAGAATCTTCAGAACTCATTGGACAGCTAAGAGCAGCCCAGACGTTTTGAAAGTGGCGAGTGCTCTAAGACAACTTGTCACAAACAGAATGATGTTTTGAGAAGATGAAAACTGGAACATACTGTGATCACTGGAAAGATCTATGGAAAGAGAGACAGGGGAAGACAGCGTGAGAAGATTCTTTACAGTCGTGTGTCATGGCATGGAAGGGTGCTGCTACGCGCAGTTGCCGATCGAAAATATCGGATAGGCATGATCGCCTACGCCAGTCAGCAAGGTACATGATAATTATGATGTGCAAGATAACACTTGCATGAAAATAGTGATGTCACTCGATTTACAATCAGTTCGACCTACGACTTATTAGTCAGAAGGCAACGCTGTCGTAAGTTAGTTTCAATTTCTGTATTGGTTTCATGCGAGCATAAATGGACTGGATGCCTTCTTAATATCCAACCCCAAACAGGGGAAATCCACAGGTCACGGAACAATCTCATATTTCAGGGGTGGTAGATAGTCTGCATGCAGTCGTGGGACCTCTCTCGTGTGACTAGGTGGGTTAGGGCCAGTTCTAGATATTTGAGGGTCGTAAAAAGCATCAGAAAGCTGGGAAACCCAGTCGTATCACCCTCTAAAATGTTGGGCTGTCGTGTGACATTATCTGGGGTAGGATATAGCGAAAGAATAATGGATTAGGACTTTGTATAGCAGCGCTGCGATATTATAGACCTATGTTCGATACAAGTGAATTTTTTGGACGTGTTTTGGTGGGAGGGACTTCACATTTTACAGAACATAATATTTATGACCGTATCTTTGGCCTTTCTTCGAACAAGGTCACCTTCTAATAGGGTCCTCTATGACACCCGTGTTTGTTGGTTGATCCCCAAACGATAGCGGGATAGGGCATCATTCTCACTGGTCATAATGGCATGATTTTTCAAACAATAATAAGAAGGGGGTAAGCCTTCGTGACGTAGCGTACTCAGAACCGAAGGTCGTGGGTTCATATCTGCATCTAGCGTGATTTGTGTTTATAATCTGTAAGAATGCCATAAAAGTATACGGGACACAATGTTGCCGATAAACATGACTACCAACGTGAAAAAACATGACGTACTGAAAATAATAAATGTCCGAAAGCGATTAAGTTTACAAATAGATATGATTACTAGCATCACACGACAGGGATTTTGGAAGATCACCTATATCAAAAAAGCTTTCAAAGAACACATGACAGAAGACTGTAGATACATATGACTACAAACATCACACAACATAAAATATGGAGGAACATCTATGTCAGAAAACGATTAAATCTAACTAGACAGAAGGCTGCAGATTGACATGACAGCACCCACCACATAGCGTGGACAGCACCCACCACATAGCGTGGACTAACGGAAAATCATATATGTTCGAAAGCAATTAAAATATTTACAACAAAAAGGCTGTAGATGCAGTATGTCAGAAAGTGATAGAACTAAATGAGATAGAAAGAATGTCGATAGACATGACAACACACGCCACAAAACATAGACTCTGAGACTAAGAGGGACTGTGAACGTCTCCTACCCGCAAACAGGTAGGCGGCCGGAGCTCCGCTGTCACCCCTACAGATGTCTGTAGGTCCGTTTTTATATCCGGCGCAGAACTGACGTAGAGTAATTTGACCCTTGAACAGTTGACTACATTCTTTCTGATCAATGAGAGGTAGCATGCTCATCTTCAGGATCGGCTGGGATGATGCCCCGGCTGTGTGATTACGTATCAGTGAACAAAATGTATAATTATGTGCAAAACGTTCAAGTACAAATAGCCACGTGAACAATGATAATACGTCCCACTCCTAGGATTTAGTTAATGCTAAAGGTGGCTTCAAATGAAAACATTGAATATGTGATAGAAATTACAGTAACCTGTCAGTATTTTTTTCCGTTAAGAATTGTGAGAAGGTTAAGCACGTGACATCTCTTTGCAGACGAACGCAGTAAGGTTATAATGTTAGTTTTAAAAAAAAATGGTCGCCCTAATTTTGACATGCACCAAAAAGGAGCAGTGTTCTGTTACCCGTTTGTTTGATTGGTAAAGAAGTGAAACCTGAAGAAATGTATTGCCGAATGAGGTTAAATTCTTGGCAGTCCTGCAAATGTATGAGTGAAGCAGGAAGCTTCAAAACAACGTGACTTGGATGACCGACTGTTTAATGCCGGGGGAAGTCACACACAGAGAAGTGGCCCTAGAACAACTGCAGCAATCGAAAGCCTTTTTGAAAGTTCGTCTCTGTACCCTGAAGTAACGGGTAGACGCTTCGGAGGTCAGTAACAACAATGTCGACAGGTTACCAAAAATTGCTACGTTTATTATAATCTCTGTCACACTTTAAAGATTTTCATTTGAACACGCCTCGTATACGGATAGAAATAGTTAGTATGTAAACACTACATAGTGTCCAGAAGATATAGGTGTGCGAAGGAATAAATGCACGGATGTTTTGGCTACAAAAGCGATATCTAAGGGAACAATCGTAATGGTAAAAGGAGACATTCTGAAGACAACCTATAAGCGTATTGTGATAAAAACACGAGGTTATACAAAGTAATATGTATGAACATTTAATCAGGAGTAGATACGGCAAGGGGAGGACGTATGAGCAGAAGAGAGCAACGCATGTATAATGCGTGTGTTACGGGGACTTCAATATCAAATCCACAAACAATTTGCTGCGGGCAAAGGAGTATTTGTGGGTATGCCAAGTTTGCTGTGATGTCAGCTCAGAAATCAGTAATCATAATATTCTATAAACCATTGGCTTTGATCATTTGGGCCCAATTCCCTGTGTAGGTGACAGGGTGCCTTTGTGGAGGTGGTGGCAGGGCGGGGAATAGACCTATAGCCCCATAAGAAGCACTCTTGAGAATCCATTAATTACAGTGGTTTTCGTTGGAATCGTAGAGCGAGAAACCAAAGGTCTTTATTTTAAAAGACAGTTAGATCTGTAAAACGGATGTGCACACAAACATCAGTTTTTAGAAAAAGACAAAAGTCCAGAAGTGGATAGACAATCAAAACTTTCTGTTGCAGTTTTGAGTCGGAGAACGGATAGACAACGAAGACGATCTGAGCTGCGTAAAGCATGTTCTTAAAGGCTGTACAGTCAGTACTGTTGTTAACAAGTGAAATATGGTCATTTTGCGGAACTCTTGAAAGATTATGTTGAAAAAGAGAGATGCGACTTTATGGAGAATTATTGAGACAATCGCATCTCAGATAAAAAGCCTAACGAACACGTCATGTAAAGCATCCACTCCAGAATTGCTATCTTAAGGAATAGCATCTCAGCGATGAGATTCAAACAGGTGCGTCTTATGGACATGTTCTGAACAAAGGAAAACTGTGTTAATAGTATGGTTCAAGTGAAAGAAAAACCTAAAAATACTCAGTAAAGCAATTAATCTGCTTTATAGAATTGCAGAAGAAACACATGCACCATAAATCACTGATGAACTTTAAAAAAATGATTTGTACAAACGAGTTGAATAAGCGACATACGGCATGAAATTTAAGAAGAGTCCAAGTCCTTGTGAGAAAAAAAGAAAAGGTCGAGCACTTTCAGACTGCTGCTAGCTAGCCGAGGCTGCCAGCAGTCTCCGCCTATAATTGTGGTCTGGGTTATTTGCGTCACTTTCGTGACTGAATTCAAGCGTTTGCGCCATTTCTGGGCTTGATGCTTCCATCCGAATCCTACCGCTCGTCCTCCACCCTGTTGTTACTTGTGCATGTCTTCCCTCGTCTTACCTAGTGTTTCCAGTTTGTGTGTTTCCCTTTGATTTGGCCAGGCGTATTTCGTAGGGGTGCGCGCTTTTCCACACAACGTCTTTTGGACCACCATTTACAGTTTTAAAACTTTGAGTATTTTATTTTGCCAAAAACTACTGACAACAGTTTTGATTTTGGATAGCTCCGAAATGTAAAATTATTTCGCGTGTGAGATTTAAGAAGAAGCAATTCTTGAGAGTAATAGTAGCTCACGATAGATCTTGTATGTTTCCTGTGGCATGGATATCATTATTTCGAATTCACTCCTGATATTATATATTTTTTTTCCATGACAAAACAGTATAGCTATGATTGCTAACAAATTTATTGACAGGTGAAGGGGAAACGGATATTAGTTTTCATTTTCTTCACTTCTTAAAAAAACCTAGGACAAAGAAGAAAAAATGTACATCCTACTCAATTTAAACCTGCAAGAAAACTGGCCCATAAACGGCGTCATCTTCCTAAATCTTTTAATATCGTGGTCACCTAGTTTTTAAAAATCTAAAAAAATCTGTATAGGAAAGACAACAATAATGAGAATAAATCAGGGGCATGGTAATGTTTGTTTTTTCTTCTTTAAATCCTATCCCACTTTAAGAGCACACACTAAGAGCCATACACCTATGTGGCCAGCGAGAAAGATAAAGATGGTGGAAAATTCCAATAGGAAAGGCCAAAAAAAACATGAAAAAGTGATTGGGGGGGGGGGGGGGTAGGGGGTGGGTACTGATTTTGGCACTGTTTAAATAAACAAACACTTTGAAAGAAGATATTTGTTATGTGATTAAGGTGCACTGTTAGGCCGCTTAACAAACTGTGTGACACTCAGCTCCCCCCGCCCCCCCCCCTATCATCTTTTTTGTGGGGGGGGGGAGAAGGGATGGGGTGGGGGGGGGGGATAACCATGACACCTTCCGGCTATTTTGCCCCTATATGCAAAAATGTATTCCAGTGACAAATTTTAATTAACGTATTCTACTAACTTCCTAAATAACTCCGGTGAAAGAACATCTGAACTGATTGGTTTTCTCAACCCTAGTTTTAAATGAATTATTCTAACACGGCCTCTATGATACTGCACCACAAGAATGCCGGAACCTCGCTGGTCGGGACAGAATTTGGGTCTATCTCTTTTGATCGCATCAAGATTGCAAGAGTTCTTTCCGGAGTTACTTGGCGTCGAGGGATGCTAAGCCATTTTATATAGCACACATAACCAAGCCACAGTGACAACAGAAGCTTCCTTCTTCAGGGATGCTGGTTGAATGAAACGATTTTTTTCGCTCGGCAGAACAAGCCAATCTGAGCCTCACTAAATTCGTGGTGGAACAAATATACCCCCTCCCTTCCGTTTCCACAACCAAAACCATCACTACCACAAGCATATACAGAGATTGTATTTATACACAGCATATTATTGAATATTTTGAGGCATGATTAAAATGAGGAGGGATAGAGGAAGACAACCAGAGAAGATGCTTGACAGTCTTATTGCATAGCATGGAGGTTTATCGGCACACGAACTGATACATGCTGCAGGAGATCGCAGATTATGGAGAGGCATGATCTTCCACGCCAGTCGGCAAGGCACCTGATGATGATGATGATTATTGAATAATAATAATAATAATTACAATATGTATTTACTATTTAGCATATTATTATATTTACTAATTTTTTTTGGCACTTAAAAGAGGCTCAGGCGACTTGTTTTTCTATAGAAACTGTGTAGGGGTGTTCCCTCCCGCCTCCAGTGGTATCATCATAACGGTGACCCTGCTCCAGATTCTACTTCATCATCAATTATCTTTATGCCTTGTGGCACATGAGGCTTGAGAGAGGACTTTATATGCTTTCCTGTTCTGTACAATCAGGCATTTACCCATGTCAGAGATGCCGCACTCAGGTCACTTTCCATCGTTCGTCCCCATGTTGTTTTTTGGGCGCCCCTTCTTTCTCTTCCCTCTCTTGTGCAAATAAGAGCTGTTTATGTAGGCATATCAGGATTCATTCTCATAATGTGACCAGGCCACATCTTCTCTTTGTTATCCTACTGACTAAAGTTTCTTGGTTTGTGACTTGAAGTAGTGTCTAACTGTGACGATACGCTCGGTGACTTCAGAATGTCTTTCCTCAACCTACTTTTATTTCTTTGTATTTTGAAAGTATACAGAAAAATAGGGATTTGGATACATCCTTAATCTAAGTAAGACGACCAGATCAAACATTTAATTCTCCTGGAATGTTGGTCATATCAAACACTAAAACTTTTTCCCAGATGTTAAGTGTTGAGGTACAGAGATAAGACTGACCAAGCTTAGACTTACTGTCTGCAGATTTGCACACCATCTGTTGGTGTCAGATATTTATCTCCTAGCCAGACATTTAGGAGTAGATAACACAGGCTAAATGTGTTTATCTCCCCCTGAGGTTACCTAACTCGAGGGCAGGTCCGACGGTCACTATTGACATAGTGAGCCGACGTTGTTAGCAAACAACTTAACAGGTGAAGTAGACTGGAGGTGTGACTTGGCCTATTAGCTTTGACCAGCTTAATTGAACCTGTAGAATGTGACCGTGGGAATTTAAACAAGTGTTGTACAGCCCTGACTGACAGCGAATAAACTTACCCACAAGGGAGGAGCTGTGACATCCTTGAATGAAAATGATTTTAGGCGTAATGTAGGAGGAGCTTAATAAAAGTTATAAAGGGGTGAACTCTGGGTCTGGTAAATGAGACTCTGTCCAGAGCATGCCATCTGTTGGGCTTAAACCTAAGCTTGATACAGAACTTTTGGCATTGTGGTTTCATTTTCCAGGTAAGAACGAAATTAGTTTCAACCCTTTATTTTATTTATGATAGAGATCTAACTGTCTTTTTGCTCAAGTGTGTGTCTTCATCACTTTGTAGTACTCCTAGGCGGACAATTCTCCATTCTCTTAGGGCACTGTCACATTGCTTTATATCCTCTTTGATAGTGTCATGAACGTTTTTTCGTGCACATGTGTTTCAATGTTGTAAAACCGAAATGTTGATGTTACCATTGAAATTTAATGAACTATCATGTTTTTGAAATCACAAGCGTGAAGATAAATTTGGCAGTCTTGTCACGTGTGGTTAATGTGAATCTGTATTACATACAGCTAACACACTGAAATGTGTTTAACTCTCGGGAGGCTAATGCGGAGATTGATCCCGGAGAGTAAATCCATGAGATTTTTTATTTGATTCGCCCCAGAACTATTGATAGCATTCTAGGCGCGTCCATTGTTCCAAGCAAGGATTCCAGAACTTGTTCTGTCTGACTGATTGTCATTTGAGTCTGTACGAGAGATGGCATCTGACGTAGAAGACTTGACTATCATTACAGGACTTGTGTAGAGGAAGGCAGAAGATGTAACAGCTGGAATGTGAGACATAAGCCCTTCCAATTTGGACAGGAGTGAATGTGAACATGAGGGAGAGATGAAATGTTTTATTTAAATAAACATGCTTGATGTTATTATAATATACATGCTTAGTGTACACCTAGAGCAGATACTACAGATATGCGCTTGTTTCTTTATCACAGTTCCCACATTGGGCAGGGACTAGTAGGCATCCATTCTTTGCCGAACGTTGAGTGTAACGACCTGCATGAAAGCAGTGAGGACGACAAACTGGAAAAGAATAGGCAGGGTCTCAAGCCGAGAACTGTCAAAGGTTGTTACTTTCCAATATATCATTTCATTACAACAGCATCTCAACTCTACTAGCCTAAACAAGTTCATTTTAATTTCGATTTATTCAAATAAATCATGTTTGACGTTGTTACAAAATAGCTGAGTAAATTGTGTACTTAGGTTCAAGTGTCTTTGTGCATATTAGTTTACTTTAGCTAACAAATATTTAAATCACTTGATGGGGGCTTTTAAGTAATGCCAGGAGAGGAGAACAGTCGGAGGGGTTAACTGAGTATCCTGATATTATCTCAGTGGGTTCATCTTGATCTCTATCTATCCCTTCTCCTTCTCCTGTGGATACAAGTACAGCAACTTTCATTTCATGGAACGAGCCACACGCTGTTTTCTTGGCTATCCAGGACTGTCTAGGATCAACATAGCTTAGATATTAGTCCAGTTTCTCACGTGGGTGGGCATTGTTAAGGTTCAAACCCACACCCTCACTATATCAGTGTATTTACCCACGTGGGCGCGCGACACTAACAAGAAAATTTTGATAATTCTACTTATACATGTGTGGTGCAAGTTGGATAGCTTGTATACATACTTTCTAGTCATTCTCCAGCATTCTGCGTCATAAGGAAGAACTGGTAAAATGATGCTCATGTAGAGTCAGAGTTTTGTTTCTCTGTAGTATTTATTAGATTTCCAGACTTGCCTCATCCTTCCAAAAGAGGGTTTAGCTTTGTTCATGCGTGACTGTATGTCTTCCTTTTGTAACAGAGCGCTGTGCGAATTGCGTATCAATATAACGGGTCGAAATCAGCAACTTTCCAGAACGTTGTTTTTCCCGCCCAAAACCAGGCCACTGACGTCATAAGTGTCTCCATTTCCCGCCAATACTACCTATTGACGTCAAACTCGGGCATTTGGCCTTGTCCTGTTTTTCTAAAAGTTACTAAATTTATTTATTTCATTATGTGACCCAACAGAACCAATTCTAAATTACATACAAAGACAGCAAGTGAAATGGTTTGCCCACTTAGAGGGAATGCCTTGTGACACCATACCATACAAAGCATACATGGAAAGAGAAGAAGGTCGTAGAGCAAGAGTTAGACCAAGAACAATATGGAAGGATAACATCAGAGAAGCTCTACAACAGGACTATGTGCCTATGGTCGAGGCGGTCAGAAGAGCCAGAAACAGAACCTTATATCTTCCTCGACACCCACAGCGGTAAAAGAGGAAGAGAAGAAGAAGAAGACCCAACCTTTCAGTGCTGGTAAATAGGTTGTTGACTAAAAATGTCCCATGTTTTATTTGGTTTTTGTATTTTGATGCGCAGTCGCCCAGTGTTCTCGACATCCTTCGCAATTTTTACAACATATAAGAGTTGGGCCTATAAAAAGGGAGCCCCTAGTTAGGTAGAAATAGAGCGGCACAGAGAGAGAGACAGCGGAAGACAGAGAGGAAGAGGACACTCGGATGGACTAGAGGGGGACTTGGAGTGGCTTGGGCAAGCTTAAACTTAGATTGATAGAAGCTTTACCCAGTTACAGTATTTTCGTAGCTTTTCGCAAGACGCTTTGTCAATATTGTTTTGAAAGTTGCCAATTTCTTTTTATGTAGATTAAATAAACGCACATTGTTAATTTTGAAAAAAAAAAAGCTTTGATGGTTTAAATGAAGTTGTACATCAGACGACGTGGTGGTTTGTTTGATATGACCGTGGTGATGAGAGACTAGATATGAGAAAAAGAAGTGTTTTCACTGTGAAATGCCCAACTTAAAGTGATAGTACAAGAGCCAGGAGAAGAAGAAGACTCTGGCATAGAAATAGATGATGAACTGAGTGAAGAAGAGGAGGAAGGAGTAGAACAGTAATATACCACGCTTCCCCAACCAGCCTTAATCGAGAGTCCCGGTTACACTTTGCCCTCCCAGTAGGAGTACCACACTGCCAATATATGTAAACTGTTCTACATGCAAATTCCCTTTGATTAGTTTATATCTAAAGTGAAATGTATGCCAAATCTTACAGAGCTTGTCCCGCCCCCAGCCAGACACTATCATATGTGTACCAACTCCCGGGTAATCGGTCTCTTTCGGTAAACAGATGGGCTGAACAAAACTGTTGAACTTGATGCCGGCGCCAGATTTTGTTGGCTGGATCTTCAGTATGGCGATATCGTAATCAAAGGATCCCACTATCCTCGGAGAGACAGAGTAGTTACAAAATAAACATTGTGAGATTAACACAGGTTTGCTGCAAAACATTTTCTGAAAGAGAGACACACTTATAAAGAATACTTTCACATGCCTTCAGGGGTATTGGATATATATGACTAGACATATATTTTATAGACCAAACGGCGCATGGTGGGCGATGTGGTCAGCATCACGACAGCAACCTTTACTTCCCACGACTGTACCTGGTACCCACTCAAAACTGGGTCGACCTGGGAGCCAAGGCCATTTTTTTAAAGAAAAACAGAAGCATGCCTTCGTCAAGACCTAAACCCAAAACCTTTAGTTCCGCAAAAGAACGTCAACACGCTATGCTACGGCGGCTCTAATGCGCACTTATACCACTGCGTATTGTGTGTAAGTATGTTTTTTTCAATGACATTTACTCTGATGTGTTCATCCTCATGGCTGTTCACCGCAATTTGTCTCCTATACTAGCCGTCATTTATGATATCTTGTTCCTTCGTTCAGGTAATCAGACAATCAGGCAATCACAGCTGAAACTATCATTCAGCTAATCGGACAATCAGACAGTCTCAGCCCATACTATCCTTTAGCTAATCAGTCAATCAGGTAATCACAGCTCAAACTTACAAACAAACGAGTCTCCCCATAGCTGCTCCTGGTCAAAGAAACCCCGTACTAAATGTCCATAACTATCCCCTAACTCCTGGTTGCGTTGATTTTTTCATTGTATGGGGCGTCGCAGGTAGACCAAGCCTTAAATGGGTACCAGGATGGCTGTCCTGTGATAGTAGAGAGGCGGGAGTAATGCTGACCACATTACTCACTTAGTGCCGATTGGTCTGTAAGAATATAGGTGCTCTTCCCATATGCCCGATGCGCCAAAGGCGTGAAAAGGGATCTTTACTTTTTTTTTTTAACTATCCCGTACGGGAAAAATTGACTCTTATGAAAGCCAATATCATCCCCAGGCATTAAATGCATTAGACACCCGTCCGAAGATTATCAGTGTCAGAAATCGATTGAAGTACTTTGTGTCTCTTGTATGCATGCGCTTATATCCGATACAAAATGGTGTACATCTTGTGAAGTTAGCTCTGTCGCAAAATGCTGGCAAGGACATGGTAGGAGAGGGAAATTTACGGACTGGGTCTATGTTTTCAATGCCGGCAAGGAGCAGAACGAGTAGATGATCATGACTATACTATAAGAACTTCATACTAAAAAGATGCTGCCACACAGAAACTATATTTAGGTAGCAGCAAAAGAATGTCACGAAGCTGGTGTTATCGGTCCCTACGCGCAAAGGGATTTTGGTTTGATTTGATTTAAGAACCGACATCACATCACTCGGAGCATTACCATAAGCGCTCTGTCCCCATCTTCAGTAGCTAACGAAGAGTTGCGATACTAATAGTGCCAGTAGCATTCTGATTTAACGTCCGTCTTGCCTTTTCTCTGAGCCTCGAGCATCTGCCAAAACCTCTCGTCACTCCTCACTGCATTAATCTCACCAGAATGTGGTGATCCATCTGCTCCCCCGAACTGTACACGCTCTCACACAAGGTACTAACCACGACTGCCTTATCATGCATCAGTTTTCACTACGCGCTGAGGGAGACACAAAGGATGGGATCCGGGCACATATGAAGTTCTCTATAAAGTACGATGAGGGTGATCGATCGAAAAACTAAGTAACTAAGATCTAGAGAAACCTGCCACCGTACCACTGTACCACCGTCTGGTAGATTGAATAGTGTGTGGGTATATCGATACGTAGGTAGGTACTACATAATATAAATTAATGTGTGTGTGTGTGTTTATATATATATATATATATATATATATATATATATATATATATATATATATATATAAGCAAGTACTAAGTAAATTAATATGTGCGTTTGTTGCTAATTTGACACATAGGTAGATATGTAAAAAAGAATTATGCATTCAAGTCTGGGTCTAGGTAGGTGTATACATACGTCTGTAATTTTCATGACTTATGACCTTGCTGACTGCAAACTGTTGCTCGCCCTCGTCGTTCCTCGCCAAGTGATGATCCCCAACTGTTACTCTGAACGAGCTGGGAGCCTCGCCCCTGAAATGACACCACAGCAGTTTATGAATTCCTACACTGGGGGATTTACTACGCACGAAATGATACACGCAGCTGCGGATCGCAGATTGTGGAAAGGCATGGTCGCTCACGCCAGTCGTCAAGGCACTTGATGATGATGATGATGATGAAAATGATGATGATGATGATGATGACGATGATGATAACACTAGGGGAAAGTGAGACACGCATGGCAAACAGCCGCGAATCTTCCGTAGGGACAACTGAATGGTAACACTCACTAATTTTAACTCGTGGTATCCATGACATGAGTGTTTATAGCCGCTATGTTGGACACGTATTTGTGGTACCGTGGTACAGTGGTACGGTGGCACTTGTGGTACGGTGGTACAGTGGTACTCTGGCACGTGGGGTGCTGTGGTACTGTGGCACGGTGGTACAGTATTACGGTGGCACATGTGGTACGGTGGTACAGTGGTGCGGTGGTACAGTGGTGCGGTGGTACAGTGGTGCGGTGAGACTTTTTGATTGGCTGGTTCAGAGGTTTGGTGGTGGGGGGATCCTCATCGGTCGAGGGTCAAGCTTGTTAACTGAAATCTAGTTAGCAAAAATGGCGGTTAACTTTGTCTTAGATGTTTTATTTAAAAAGTTAAAACAATTTTTTTTAATTCCTTGAAGTTTAATGTTTAAAGTTCAAAATGTTTATAAAGTTAAAAAAATTTTTTTCGGTAAATCAGAAGTGACTTCCCCTTTTACATCGGGTCGGTCCGTGCACCCCTTATTGTGGTCCCCTTGTCTAATAGGTGCATAATTTGTGTTTGTTCATTCTTGTGCCCTCCCCTAAAGCTTTCAAACCACCATCTCCTAGCGCTACATGTTGCTGCCACATCAGATCTTGTTGTGTCTCAAGTCTGGCACGGTATTTGTTCTGGCTGCATTCCAACCTGAGAACACAAATCGTTTGATCTTATGCTTCCAAATTAAAACGGTTTATGATGTTGTTCCCGCAGTATGTTTGATATTGTCTTTACTCAGGTTTCTGGCAATTGTGGCAGAACAAAATAAATCTATTTTTTTAAAAACATCTACGTAGGGAATCTGTGGTTTCTGCGACGTATTATACGAATACCTTGGACGGCTAGAATAACTAACAACGATTGCTTGAAGGAAGCTAATAAAAGTAGATCTCTATATACACCAGTAACAAAGAAACAAACACTATTCTTTGGCTACAAAATGAGAAGGGAGACATTAGAGAACATCGTGACAACTGGAAAGATCAGTGGGACAAGAGGTCGAGGCAGACTAAGAGAGATGATGCTGGATGGTTTGAAACGATGGCATGGAGGAATATCAGGCAACCAGGGATCGTGATCTGGGAAGACGCATGAGTGCCTACGCCAGTTGGTAGTGCAATAGATGATGATGATGATGGATATAAAGGCGTTCACTGCAGCTCCTAATTGGAAAGCAGAATACAAAGTTACTAGATGAATATTGTGTCCGATTCTCAGTCGGCACTGCAGGAGGTTCAAAACTGACTAATTTGGAATGAGTGGATACCATACATCAGTACGCCGACATTGCAGGGAATCACCTGGATATGTTATCCGGGACATTCACGAGTGCGAGGGAATGAAGGAGCTGATTTTCTGGCTATAAAACAGAAAGCTACCGAAACACTCGTACTTAACAAGGGAGATATTGTGAAGACCATATATGAACGACTGCTGACAGAAAACACGAGATTAGATGGAATAACATGTAGTTCCCATATGGAAGAAGAAATGTGATAAACGAGATTGTGAAACGTACAGAGGTATCTCTTTACAAAGCCATGTAGGAAAGATGTTTGCAAAAATATTAGAACGAAGAGCGAGAGTGATATTAGAACCTCAATTAAGTAACAATTAGTTTGGATTTAGAAAAGGAAAGAGCTGCACTGATGCAATATTTACTCTTCGGCAAATTTGTGAACAGACAATCGAATATAATAAACACCAGAATCTTATTTTCATTGATCAGGAGAAGGCTTTTGACAGGGTTAACAGAAATAAACTATGGTACATTCTTGAAGAATATGGTGTACCGGGTCAATTATTGGGAAACATAATGGCTCTCTATCAAAATAGCCAGAGCGCTGTAAGAACAACGGAAGGTATGACAGAGAGGTTCCCCATTACATCAGGAGTACGACAAGGATGTGTCCTATCACCCCTACACTTCATCACATATATGGATAAAATTGCACAGGAGTCAAACCAAAACACAGATATTATAAATGAACTACTCTTTGCAGATGACCAATGTTTGTTACAAGAAGAAGAACAAAAACTACAACAACATGTTGATTCATAGTTCACTAACTGTACAAAATTTGACATGAAAATAAACACCTCAAAAACTGAAGTAATGACCATAGGAAAGAAACACAGTAATGAAAACATAAAGATCAATGACATACAATTAGAACAAGTTCAAGAATTCAAGTACTTAGGATGCATATTTACAGAAGATGGAAGACTCGATAAAGAGATACAGGCTGGAGTTCAAAAAGATCTCGTTACCAGCCAAACAACGGATGATCAACAGCATTTTCATCCCTACGTTAAGTTATCAGTGCCAAACGTGGACAATGAACAAATCACATATGCAAAAAATAACTACGTGTGAAATGCGATGTCTCCGAAGAGTCACCAACAATACACGAAGAGACAGAGTCACAAACGTCAGCATTAGAGACAAAGTTGGAACAAGATCATGCATAAAACATATTGAAAGACAGAGAATGAAGTGGCTTGGCAATTTAGTCAGAATGCAACCGGATCAGATTGCCTATAAGGCCTTTTACAGTAGAACATCGGGAAGAAAGGCTAGAGGAAGACCCAGGAAAAATGGATAGATGAAGTAGCTTAATACGGCCAGAAGATCCAGAAAACTGTCACTCAAATCACGCGAGAGGCACAAAACAAATATTTTAAACCACGACGCTGCAACCCGGTAAAAGTGAAAAAGACAATAGATAGATGGAGCAAGAATGTGTGAACGAGTAATTAAGTGTAGATCCGGCAAGGAGGGGCGAATGAGAGGAAGAGAACGACGTGTGTATAACCAGTGTGCTACGGGAACAGTTAGCATCTACACCTTAAGACATTTGCTGGGGGAGACAGAGCATCCATGGGAATGCCCGGGGTGCTAGAATGTCAATTCTTAATCCAGTAATCAGTTCTGGCGGCTTTCCCTAGTAAACGCATCTCACAGTTTGTAATTTTGCTTATATTGACCTTTGATATGTCTAAGTTTGTGACTGGTGGCAGAGATAAGTATGAATTCTTCTTCTTTCTTTCTGTAAAAAATCTCAACTGGTTTTTGCAGGTTTTAGCTACACCGTTTATCCATCTCTTTCCTTGTCTTCCCCTCGCCTTACTCTGAGATGTTCTGCTGTAAAAATTATCATATCTAATTTGACATGGCTGCATTCTCACTAGATGGCCGAACAATTTCCTTCTTAGTCAAATATAACTAAGGTGACCACAGTCCCGTCTTCAGTGGAATAGTCCTGTTGTATTAGATGTATCCGGTCGTTACTTCTGCGAAACGTTTCTCAAACCTTCAGTTTCATATGAATATGTATTTTATAATCTGTATCTTGGCGATCATACCTATTTTTTGATGTCTAGGTATAAATTGCTGAGCAAATTATTTGTCAATATAACTCAATCGTCTGAAAAGACTAAAGTATGCCAGCTACATTCAGACGCTGGCACTGTGGCTTAGTGAGGTATTGGCTTAGTGGCCAGTTGCTCGAAACATCTATGTTTGTAGTCAACATTGATGTTGCTTTTTTTAAAACTAAAATTGACTTTAGCTCTAAGCCCAAACTTTGCACAAGGTATAGTTATGGGAAGTGAAGGCAACCTTCATGGTATTGAAAACATCGCCCACTGAGTGCAGATTGGTCTATCAAGTCATAAGTCAAGAAATATATGCCCGAAAATGACTTTGACTCCCAAGTCGATCCAGCCTCAAATAGGTACCAGGTGCAGTCCTGGAAATCAAAGGCGGCCGGTGTGATGTTGACCACATCACCAAATGGGTGCTGATTGGTCAACAACTTGGATCTAGAGCTATATAGCTCACTTGCTGTACCCGGCCACGCGTTGCTGTGGCCCAGAATGGTGAAATGAAGAGGAAATAAAATACCTCTCAGCTAATAGTGTCTGTCATACCCCCCCCCCTTTCCCCTCCCCTCGACGCAGTTATATTTCCCTCCCCGAAGGATTGAAAAATCTTCCATGGCGAAATTATAAAAATAGACATAGTTTTAAGAAATGAGAACTTGAAAATAATATGTGTAGCTCTCTCAGCTAACTGTGTTTGGCATAACTCTCCCCCCCCCCCCCCACCAACTTTTCCACAATCATATCTCCCTCTCCCGTAGGATTGAAAAAATCATCACTTGGCGATATTATTAAAATAGAAATAGTTAAGAAAAGAGAACCAAAATAAAAAAAATATTTTAGGCTCTCTCAGCTAACTGTGTCGGGCATAACCAGCCCCCCACCCCCCCCCCCCCACCAATCATATCTCCCTCTCCAAAAAATTGAAAAAATCAGCACCTTCCGAAATCATATCGCCCTCTCCGAAGGACTGAAGAATCATCCATGGCGAAATTATTAAAGTAGAAATAGTTAAGAAACGAGAACTTTAAAATAATATATTAAACTCTCTCAGCCAGATGTGTCTGGCATAACCCCCCCCCCCCCCCCCCCGCCCCCCTCCATTTTTCCATCAATCATATCTCCCTCTCCGTGGGATTGAAAAATCATCACCTGGCGATATTCTTCTCTTTTTCTGCCTTTCTATCCCCCAATGGAGCATAGGCCCTCAACCAACTCACGCCAAGTCTTTCTATCCTTCGCCATTGCATGGAGCTCTCCCCATGTCCTCCCAATCTTTCTAACCTCGTTCTCCAGCTCTCTTCTCCATGTGTTTTTTGGCCTTCCTTTATTCCTATGCCCCTGTGGGTTTCAATGCAAAGAAATTCTAGTAATGCTGTTCTCCTGTTTTCTCAGTGTGTGCCCTTTCCAACGCCAGCGTCTTTTCCTCACTTCCTGATCCACTGGAGCCTGTTTAGTTATTTCCCAAAGTTCTACATTAGTTATTCTATCATACCATTTTATTCCCTCTATTATGCGCAGGCACCAATTAATGAATGTCTGTAATTTATTAGTAATTGCCTTGGTTGTTCTCCATGTTTCCGCCCCATACAATAGTACTGATTTGACATTAGAATTAAAAATTTTTAGTTTAGTATTTCTTTTAATTTCTTATTAAAACATAAATAGTTAAGAAAAGAAAACATTAAAATAATATTTAAAGCTCTCCCAGCTAACTGTGTTTGACATAACCCCTTCCCCCCCCCCCCCCCCCATCGAATTTACCTCTCCGAAAGATTGAAAAAATCATCACCTTGCGAAGTCATATCTTCCTCTCCGAAGGACTGAAAAATCACCCATGGCGATATCATTAAAATAGAAATAGTTAAGAAATGAGAACTTTAAAATAATATATTAAGCTCTCTCAGCTAACTGTGTGTGACATAACCCCCCCCCCCCCCCAACCCCCCCCCCCCCCCCAATCATATTTCCCTCTCCAAAGGATGTAAAAATAACGTTAAAATAAAAATGTAAGCTCTCTCAGCTAACTGTGTATGACGTAACCAAATCCGAAGGATGGGAAAGTCACCATGTGACCAAATATTGTAACCAAATTGAGCTTGGCATCCGTGTCCACCCAGATTTAAATAGGTAGCATTAACTTGTACAGAGAAGTAAATGTAGCCAGTGTAACAGCTATCACATCACCCATCCAGTACCAGTACTACTGCAACCACTACCACCACCACCATCACAACAGCAACAACATCAACAACAACAACAACAACAAAACCTGTCATCACAGTCTGTGTAAGTTGGTGTAGAAAAGAGGAGTTAGCGCCGCACGCTGTCGACACGGGCTATTTAGTTTAATGTTGCCCCCGACATAGAAATTTAAAAAAAAACTTCATCACATTACCCGTGATGGAACACACAGTAAAAAGTACAATATACTCACGAATAGCGGAGAAAAATACCTCACACCCGTCATCTCTCCCTCTCTGAAGGAGCGATTTTTAACTGACCTTGGCATCCGTGTCCACCCAAACTAAACTGGACTGTAAGCCGTCTTAGGTAACAGTTTCTGTCATCGCCGAATAGTTTTTGACCGAGAAGCGTCGCGGGGAGGCTAATTGTGACAACTGAAATCGGATGTCTTGGGGCGAAAGGCGCAGATATCGCAGCCTAGCTGTAACCCACAACACAACGTGGCAACCACTCTTTTAAGAAACAAAGAACAATTATCACTCAGCGAAAAATCGAACAGCGGTCACCCGCGAGAAGGATGGAATGCTTAAAACTATACTACCAAAGATTGAAGAGTTTAGGTCAGATATCGCAGCCTAGCTGTAAACCCCAAACACAACGTGCCAACGAGGGCGAACGAAGAATACCTGTGTCATGACCATTGAGCATCACGTCGGCGTAGATATCGCAGCCTAGCCATAAACCACAACACAACGTGCCAGCCGCCCAGTTAGGGGCTTAAAAATAGTTTATTACCTAGCGGGGAATCGAACGCGGGTCACCCGCATGATAAGGAGAATAGTTATCAACTACGCTACCAAACACTCACACAGATAGTGAAAATGAGATTCTATAATAATGCAATAAGTTCAATAAGAGCTTGGCAGCCACAATAGCCAATCAACTAAAAAGAAATCCGGGCCGGTAACGAAACAAATAATGATTTGACCGTTGCTGGAGCTACGTCGTTCGTGGTTTGTGTGATTTGCTGTAAAAAAATCACGCTTGGAGTCAAAGGCAACGTTGTGTGCAAATTTTAAAGCAATCGGTTCAGTAGTTTCCGAGTTTAGGAAAAACAACATCGGAAAATTAACATTTTTATTTACATACATTGTACCAGAGGCCGAGGTAAAGTATCTTTGACTCTATGCAAATGCGCCACTGGCCTCTAAAAGGTCATTGACTTTAATAATTTATATTTACTATCAATAGAACCTTTTCATAGTTTTAGGAGTTTTTATAGAGACATGTTTGAGGAAAGGTAATTGTGTATCCTTCACAGGAAGTTGCAAAACCAATCCTAGCATCTGTGTTACTGTCTGTCATTTCATCAGGCAGTTTATCGTTCAGCAATGTGTCATTGCTCCCTGAAGGTTAGCTCCAAACACCGCAATCTTGAGGCGACCTGCTGCTAAATCACCCGCAGGTAGAATCGAACGAGGTACCTTAGTATTACGCGTACGCAATGCTCAAGCCACAGACGCCGGCATAGGTACATGGCCGCCTACATAATGTAACAATAGATGTGATGATGATGATGATGATGATGATGATGATGATTAAACTTACTTCACACAATGAGCAACGGTGATAATCCAGTACTCGTTTATTATAGCTCCGGAGCATTCTGGCTTATATTCAGTACGGTCTTTATTCCGGGTCATAATTCTGATATTTGCTTGCCAGGGAACTTCGCCGTGTGAGGCAAAATTGCCACCTAGAATCCTGTCGTCCCCGTACGTGTCTGGGTTGTCGTAGTCGCTCTCTAGCAGACTTTCCTGCCTTCGAGCTAGCACTTTTGCTGGTCTCGACCCACAGGTAACAGGTGAGGCTTGTAACCCAGGTTTACCTCCGAGGTTTTGTAAAGTATAGTGTGTGCCATAAACATCTGAAGACAAATCACAGTAATGTAACTCTTTCGAAAGCATTGGATTTGTTAACAGGGGATCAAGGGAAGGTACCGCTATTTTGAAATTAGCAAATGTAACCCATTAAAACAGAAAAAACAACTAAAACTGTTGTACAACATCCTTCTTTGTCGAGGCGTGATAAATTCTCACGTGTAAGTGCTAGCAGGTAACGATTACCCTGAAATATCACTTGGCACTTTCCTACTCGTCCCTATCGATTTTAGAGAATGCGTGCTCAGCTTGCATCAAAGTACTGGTAACTGGTCGATTTCACACATTACTTATATTGTGACTGTCGGGAGCATGCAGCGAGCACTCGTTTGTCTATGTTAATACTCTAAACAAACACTGTGGGCGTGGCATTACGCAACCATAGTTCACAACTTGGTAGAATACCCTTAAATGATAAGGCAGCCGTGGTTAGGGCATTGTGGGAGAACGTGTACAATTCGGATGCGCAAATAGATCACCACGAATGAATCTGGCTTGTACGTGACGCTTATAGGAAAGGCAAGACGGACGTATTGGGCATTTCCCTAAGCGCTCCGTCCCTATCTTTACTCTTTAGCAGTCAGCGCAGAGTTCCATTAACTATAGTGTTTGTAGCATTCTAATTATACGAACGTCTTGCCTATCCTCTTAGCTTCGAACATCAGCCTGATTTCCTCGTCACTTTCCGCTTCGTCACTCTCACAAGAGACTGTGGTTATATATTTTGCTGTTTCGAATTGTAGACGTTCTGCCACAAGACCCTAACCACGTCTGTCTTATCATGCATCAATATTTCAGAGCCAGCCAGTCTGACCGCCTCTTTATTTCCTAACACACCAGCATATGATACGTTGTCTGTGTGTCTTATTAAGTGTCTATGATATAGACTAGTCGTCGGGGTGGCCACGGAATAGTCAGTTTTACTACCTTGAGCCACAACTGACATTTGTGGATATACAGTATAAACTTGGTCATGTAAATTCCAAGGGCCGAAGATCAAGTTCGTGTTAAAATAATTCTTGCTACACGGGGACCAATATTAATACATCCCTACTTGTTAATGTTAAACTTCCGCATTTCTTCAGCCAGCTTATTTCAATGAGGTTTTACTGAAATCATCATCATCATCAACAAATACCTTGCCTACTAACGTGGTCGAACACCTCTCTTCACATTTGTTGATAACACGCCCAGTCACTACAAACTGAGGCTAAGAGTAGGCTCGTATTTCCTCCCGCCCTCCGCTCTCTTTTTATTCAGATCATTTGAGTGCCCCCCCCCTCCCCCCGCCCTCTCCCCCCCCCCCCCCCCAAAAAAAAAAATTTATGACCGTCTTTTTTTTTATATTTGTGACAAGTTGTCTTCGTGCCCTCAATTGTCTACAATTATCTGTGCTGCCCTTTTTTTGGGCTGTCCAGAAAGTTCTAAGGATTATTTTGTAAAACCACATCTCCATGGCTTCAAGACACATTGGGCTCTTTATTATTGTCCAGAATTCACAAGCATATGTCAAAACAGGCTCTATATCGCTTGCGATAACTCTTTTCTTAACCTTCAGTGACATTTATGTATTGCATAAAAACTGCATCAGTTTGTTTCACCTGTCCTAATCTCTTTCTCTCTCTCTCTCTCTCTCTCTCTCTCTCTCTCTCTCTCTCTCTCTCTCTCTCTCTCTCTCTCTCTTTCTCTCTCTCTCTCTCTCTTCTCTCTCTCTCTCTCTCTCTCTCTCTCTCTCTCTCTCTCTTTCTCTTTCTCTATCTCTCTCTTTCACTCTCTCTTTCTGTCTCCTTCTCTCTCATTTTTTTTAATCAGAAATATATCTTTCTGATACATCTTCAGTCGTATATTATACATGTGCCTAGATACATTAACCGGTGAACTTGTCAAAACACATTTGACTTCTATTATACAGGATCTGTTCTTTAGTGTAACTATTGTTTTCTTTGATGCTACTATCTGTATTTTCATCATTCAGACTGCAACCTATTATATCACTGTTTACCACAACCGCATCTTTCAATCCCTGTAGCTCTCTTTGGCTTGTCTTCATCAAGCTTTAATGGCTATTACACATTTTGCAAGTGCTTAGCAGCTATGGTGGTTTGTTAGTTACTAAAATCAACTAACTAATCATACATTACCTTCAAGCTTCAGCTCACTTAATTCATTTATTTTCTTCAAGCCTGTGTCCATCCCAAATGTTACAGTTTCTTC